GAAAAGGACTTTTGCATAGAAGGGAGTTTGAGATGACTGGTAGGTACATCAAAGGCTTCTACTGTCAGATTAAAACCTTAGATTGTCAAGGGTTTGATATTGCTGGGTTTAGAATACCTATATAAACCTAATACTGTTTAATAAAATTAGATTTTCACAAAACTAGAAAGTCAGGCCATTGCCATTTCCTGCTTCTGTAGCTACAACTTAGTATTATAAAAATCAGATGTGTTTATAGTAATTATTTTTTGCCACAACTCTCAGCAAAGTAAACCACTAAATTTCAGAGTGCTGAATGTTACTAGTGGGATTAATATTGCCACTGAATTTCCCAGGATTACTGAAATATTTCATCGAAAAGTTATAAGTTGATCTTTCCCAATTTTAGTTTCATTCTGTTTTTAATAAGTAGAAAGTAAGTTAAAAGAGAGACAAGGGCGCCTGGGTGGCTCAGTTGGTTAAGCAACTGCCTTCGGCTCAGGTCATGATCCTGGAGTCCCGGGATCGAGTCCCTCATCGGGCTCCCTGCTCAGCGAGGAGCCTGCTTCTCCCTCTGACCCTCCCCCCTCTCATGTACACTCTCTCATTCTCGCTCTCTCAAACAAATAAATAAATCTTTAAAAAAAAAAGAGAGACAAAAAAGTTGGAGGGTGGGATTTGCACCACTGCTATATAATATAGTTATAGTAACCCCAGGGCTTCCTATTATGATGAAAATGCATTTAAGTTCCCTTTAGCTATTGTGGGAAAACAAAGTTTTGAAATGCGTAGTATGTCTAGAGGATACATATTTCTACTGAGAAAAAAATGGGTTTTTTTCTCCAGTAGTTCAGCTCTTCTATTGAACAGTTCTTCTGTTGAAAGCATTTTTAAAAAATTTTTTTAAAGATTTTATTTATTTGAGAGAGAGAGCACGAGGCAGGGAGGGGCAAAGGGAGAAGCAGCCTCCCCACTGAGCAGGGAGCCCGACACAGGACTCAATCCCAGGACCCATGAGATCATGACCTGAGCTGAAGGCAGATGCTTAACCAACTGAGCCTCCTAGGCGCCCTTGTTGAAAGCATTTTTATATTTATAGTTGACATGATTGTTTTGTTTGAAAGTGGCAAAAGATTACATAGACGACATTCAGGAAAATACTTTTTGAATGAATATGAGTATATAAAAGTATTTTGTTATGTATCAAAAAGCCAAGCCTGAAGCAAAAATGGCTTGGGTAAAACAAAAAGTATGATTGTGCCACAACTTTTAGAAAATGTGCTTCATCTATAAAGGCAATATAATACAGCCAAAATTCATATAACAAGCATAACTAATTCTGAAAGTCTTTTTGTACAGCAAGTTTGCACCTTTTTTCCTCTCATGTTTCTTTGTGTCATTTTTCTATGAAAAAATAGGTTATATATAGTTGTGTATGTTACTGGATTGTCAGGCTGTACCACACATGTCCAGCTCACTGTTGGTCATATCTAGTGTGCAGCAACAAAGCAGTGAGCCTCCCACTGAAATGAATGGAAATGAAATAGAAACCAAAAGAATAGTAGGATAAATCAACAAAACTAGGAGCTAGTTCTTTGAAAGAATTGATAAGATCGATAAACCCCTGGCCAGACTTATCAAAAAGAAGAGAAAGAACCCAAATAAATGAAATCATCAATGAAAGAGGAGAGCTCACAACCAACACCAAAGAAATACAAACAGTTATAAGAACATATTATTGGCAACTATATGCCAACAAATTAGGCAATCTGGAAGAAATGGATGCATTCTTAGAGATGTATAAACTACCAAAACTGAACCAGGAAGAAATAAAAAACCTGAACAGACCCATAACCAGCAAGGAAATTGAATTAGTAATCAAAAGTCTCCCAACAAACAAGAGTCCAAGGCTGGATGGCTTCCCAGGGGAATTCTAGCAACCATTTAAAGAATTAATACCTATTCTTCTGAAGCTGTTTCAAAAAATAGAAATGGAAGGAAAACTTCCAAACTCTTTCTATGAGGCCAGCATTACCTTGATCCTAAAACCAAAGACCCCACCAAAAAGAATTACAGACTAATATCCCTGATGAATGTGGATGCCAAAATTCTCACCAAGATACTAGCCAATAGGATCCAACAGCACATTAAAAGGATTATTCACCATGACCAAGTGGGATTTATTCCTGGGCTGTAAGGGTGATTCAACATCCACAAATCAATCAATATGATACGCTACATCAATAAAAGAAAGGACAAGAACCATATGACCCTCTCAGTAGATGCAGAAAAAGCATTTGACAAACTACATTATCCTTTCTTGATTAAAACTCTTCACAGTGTAGGAATACAGGGAACATACCTCAATATCATAAGAGTCATACTCAAAAAGCCCACAGGGAATATCATTCTCAAAAACAGAGCTTTTCCTCTAAGGTCAAGAACACAACAGGGATGTCCACTCTCACCACTGTTGTTCAACATAGTACTGCAAGCCCTAGCCTCAGCCATCAGACAACCAAAAGAAATAAAAGGCATCTGAATTGGCAAGTCAAGCTCTCATTCTTTACAGATATTATACTCTATGTTGAAAACCCAAAAGAATCCACCCCAAATTGCTAGAACTCATACAGGAATTCAGCACTGTTGCAGGATATAAAATCAATGCACAGAAATCAGTTGCATTTCTATACACTAAGGAGACAGAAGAAAGAGAAATTAAGGAGTCAATCCCATTTATAATTGCACCCAAAATCATAAGACACCTAAGAATAAACCTAACCAAAGAGGCAAAGGATGTGTTCTCAGAAAACTATAAAATACTCATGAAAGAAATTGAGGAAGACACAAAGAAATGGAAAAATGTTCCATGCTCATGGATTGGAAAAAAAATTTTGTTATAATGTCTATGCTACCTAGAGCAATCTACACATTCAATGATCTCGCTATCAAAATACCATCAACTTTTTTCATAGAGCTGGAACAAATAATCCTAAAATTTGTATGGAACCAGAAAAGACCCTGAATAGCCAAAGGAATATTGAAAAAGAAAACCAAAGTTGATGGCATCACAATTCCAGACTTCCAGCTCTATTACAAAGCTGTAATGATCAAGACAGTATGGTACTGGCACAAAAACAGACCCATAGATCAATGGAACAGAATAGAGAGCCCAGAAATGGATCCTAACTCTATGGTCAGCTAATCTTCGACAAAGCAGGAAAGACTAATGGAAAAAAGACAGTCTCTTCAACAAATGGTGTTGGGAAAATTTTGCATGCACCCCAATGTTTAGAGCAGCAATGTCTACAACAGCCAAACTATGGAAAGAACCCACATGTTCATCAACAGATGAACAGATAAAGAAAATGTGTTATATATATACAATGGAATATTACTCAGCCATCCAAAAAAAAGAAATCTTGCCATTTGCAATGACATGGATGGAACTAGAGGGTATTATGCTAAGCGAAATAAGTCAATCAGAGAAAGACAATTATATGATTTCATCATATGTGAGATTTATGAAACAAAACAAAGGATCATAGGGGAAGGGAGTGAAAAACAAAACAAGATGAAATCAGAGAGGGAGACAAATTACAAGAAACTCTTAATCATTGGAAACAAACTGAGGGGTGTTGGGAGGGAGTGTGTGGGAATGGGGTAGCTGGGTGACAGACATTAAGGAGGGTACATGATGTAATGAGCACTGGGTGTTATATAAGACTGATGAATCACCGAACTCTACCTCTGAAACTAATTATACACTATATGTTAATTCATTGTATTTAAAACTAAAAAAAAAGAAACCATAAATAAATAAATAAATAAATATTTTAAAAATAACAAAAAATAAAAATAAATAAAATGAATGGAAATGAAGGGCAAGGGTTCCACTGAAATATGGCTCACTTATTGTTTTGTTGGGTAATCCAAATTTTACATAAATTCACAATAACATAACAACATATTGCCTTAAAATACAACATGAGCCTAAACCTAAATTAATAAATAAGGGTCAAAAGTTTTTAAAAAGTCAAATATTAACAATACCATAATTTTCTTTGGTCTAGTCAATATACATACTGGTATGCATGATGAAAAAAAATGCAAACAATATTAATGATATATCCATTGGGTAGTTGCTCCTTTCATCAGAGTGAACTGTGTAACTCAAATGGCTTCATTTTAATTTATTTAAATCAGGAGCTAAACCCAAACAACTGTGAGAATTTTGGTTTCAGGACGGAATGTAAATACCACAACCTTTAGAATGTTAAGTAAGAATGTGGCAAAAATATACAGGAGGTAGGGGGGAGCACAGGACCAATTCCCTTATTTTTCATAAAAGAGCCAATTGGTACTTGTGCATGACTTATAACATAAAATTCAAACAAATGATTCTTAGCCTCCTAACAGTCTCCATTAATCTATTTTTATTAACTATGAGGGAAATTTTAGGCCACATCTTTCACATTGAAGAAATATTTATCTGAAATTTAGCAATTCCATCAATTTTATTTCCATTTCCTACTTCCCACCCTGTTAAATCCAGGCTGAGATAAATTTGTTATACTTGTGAAAGCATTTATTATAAGATTCCTTTTTTTATATTATGTTATGTTAATAACCATACATTACATCATTAGTTTTTGATGTAGTGTTCCATGATTCATTGTTTGTGTATAACACCCAGTGCTCCATGCAGAAGTGCCCTCTTTAATACCCATCACCAGGCTAACCCATCCTCCCACCCCCCTCCCCTCTAGAACCTTCAGTTTGTTTTTCAGAGTCCATAGTATAAGATTCCTTTTTATAAAACTTTTAAAGTCTGTCCTTCTAACTCATCTTATGTTTAGGATGATATTCACCTGATGTTAAGGATTGATACTTCTAATTGGTGTGATTATTTTGACTTTTCTTTTTTTGTACTTTAATGTATTTCTTGACCTTTTCAACACACATTAATTCCCCCTTATCCATGGGGGATACATTCCAAGACTCCCCCCCCCCCCCCACTGGATGCCTCAAACCACAGATAGTACCAAACCCTATATATTCTGTTTTTTCCTATATACATGTCTATGATAAAGTTTAAAACAACAATAATAAAATAGAACAATTGTAACAATATATTTTGAAAAGTTATGTGAATGTGGCCTGTCCAAATATATTTTCCTGCACTCACTATTTTTGTGATAATGTAAGATAAAATGTCTGTATGATGAGATGAAGTGAGGTGAATGACATAGGCATTGGGATGTAGCGTTAGGCTACCATTGACCTTCTGACAGTAGGTCAGAATGAGGGTCATCTGCTTCCAGACTGCCGTCAAGTTTAGAAAGTGAAACTGCAGGTGAGGGGGTAGTACTGTAATGAGTATTTGTCATTGTAATTGAAGAAAATTTAAAAACAAGAATTCATTTATAAGACCTACTCATAAAGTCCGTATTTAATGTATTTCAGCCAATAGAAACGTATTTTAATAGAAGAATGGATTCAAGGGGGCGCCTGGGTGGCACAGTCATTAAGCATCTGCCTTCGGCTCGGGTCATGATCCCAGTGTCCTGGGATCGAGCCCCGCATCGGGCTCCCTGCTCCGTGGGAAGCCTGCTTCTCCCTCTCCCTCTGTCCCTGCTTGTGTTCCCTCTCTCGCTGTGTTTCTCTGTCAAATAAATAAATTAAAAAATCTTAAAAAAAAAAAAAAAAAGAAAGAAAAGAAGAATGGATTCAAGGAATCATGGTGAAAATTCTGGGCACTTTATTTCAGTTAACTGATACATATTTTGTTAATAAAATAAGATGACTCTGAGAAAACTGTAAGATATGTCTTTGAAAAACTGACTCTAGAAGTTTGGTGAATAGACAATTACGTGTACTTCAGTTGAATATTTGAACTTCAAAAGCTACTGGTGACTGCTTACATTGTTTTGAAATCAATGATCTCAGTATCATACAGTCTTACAGCTTTCATGGACTTTGTGTTCGTCTGTCTTTTCACATCGGGCTGTCACAGGAGCAGGGTTCCAGTGACCTCCTGAGTGAATGAACTGCAATGATTGGATGCCTCCAAGTAGTTAAGATATGGAAAGAAAGGAAACATGGCTCCTCAGCAAGAGGAATAAGAAGACAGTGAGAAGACTGATCTTACATTACCTTTTTAGGAAAAAAAAAAGTGGGGGATGCAGTTTTTAATATAATCAAATGTAATGGTGGTGAGATATTTTGACAATCTACTGAGTAGTTAAAAATGAGTGTGACTTCAGAAAAGTGTATGCTATTGCCCAGGACACCAGAATTAGGACATCACTCTCTGAATACAATTTTATTTGATGAAGAAATAAACACTTCCCTATGTATCTTTCAGGGTTTATTTCATTTTATTTCCAAAGTAGAGCATGAATCCTTCTCAATCTTGAAATTGAATGTTTAAAATTTAATATGCGTAACAGGATTCTCAACTCTCTAAGTTTTTTTTTTTTAATTCCACTTGTATTCATTTTTAAAGGGACTTTCAAAATTGTCACTATTATGCTATCTATTAATGTTGTTTTAACATCTTTCAGAAATAATTGGCAATAAGACCTCTGTAGCCATGGCTAGTTCTGACATGAAACCAAAATCAATAAGTCGTGCCAAAAAATGGTCAGAAGAGATAGAAAATCTGTACAGATTTCAGCAAGCAGGATATCGGGATGAAATTGAATATAAACAAGTGAAACAAGTTTCTATGGTAAGATGTCTCTACAGACCTGAACTCAAAATATTCAGTGAAAAGTATCAAAATCAAACAAAGAACCAGAGAATAACTAAATGGAAACTCTACTCCATTTCTCTTATTTTATTGACGAGACTGAGGCCCAGAGGAGTGGTTTTCAGGTAGACTGGAGGGAGAGGTGGTCCCTCAGCATGGAAAGATTAAGAACTTTCTAGCTTTTATTGAACAACCATGCTCTGCCAGATAAAGCTTTGATGATAACCACAAAAGCAGAGTCTTTTTACCTTACCCAGGTAATTCTATTGCCAGATATTCAGTTTATTGTGTAACTATTACTTCTTTCCAGTTTCTTTTTTTATCCCGAATTATATAGGGGTTAGATTCTGTTTATTATGGAGATTATAAGTGACAGAAAACTATTAGAGAGCAACTCCTGACTGTTTGTGCATTACACTCCCATGCCCAATAATGTGACTGAGATAAAATCCGATTTAAGAGAACACAAAGAACCTCCTTGAAGGGGAAGTCCCACAAAGTGAGAGGAGTGTGTGTGTGTGTGATGTAGGGAAAAACAAGCCTATTCACTGTATGACTTGGCAATTTTGAAGAGGTCTTGCATTTCATTTCAGTATAACTAATTGGATATAAACTGTTGGGAAGGAGAAAATTTTCGCTTCTTCTTTTGGCTGGTCTAATAATTAATTGACCCATGACAGATTAACAGGAGAAAAGACAAATTTCATCTAATCTCATATATACAGGAGCCCCAAAGATATAAGACCCAAGAAGTGACCAAAGCAGGCCATTTATATACCTTTTAGACAAAGAAATGATAAATGTATGAAGAACTGACAAGACAAAGTAACTTGGGCTTGAGTACTAATTAGTGGGGAAATGAAGCAGAATTTATTTACACAGCCCTCTTGGCTCTGAATGCTCTGTCTGTGGTGATAAGGATGTCTGTTTACCTCCAGGTGCAGGGAGGGTGCCTTTCACGTGTGAGATTTATTTCCTGCTTTCAGAGGTACAGAGAGGAGGGTCAGTGTCCTTCATGCACTGGTTTCTCAAGTAACTTTAACTTGAAACCATCAGTATGCCAAAGTGGCGTATTCTGGGGCAGCATGCCCTCAACCCTGTCACTACCATGTGTAAATTTCTGTGCCAAGCGCTTTAGGAGATAAAAATATGAGTACCTGACCTCAAGAAACTGATTGGGCCAGTAGGAAGAGAACCAGATTTGGAACCTATCCAGGGTCCGCATCCTGGATCCTCTTTCTCATTAGCTGAGCAATCCTGAACAATGTTCTTAACTTGGCTGAGCTCAACAGTTGAATTGTGATGGCAGTGTCTGCTTTAGAAAATAGTTACAGGAATTAAATGAAATCATGTGTTTGAAGTGCCTGACATTGTAGTGCTTAATAATTTGTTGAGTGAATGAAAGATAAGTGTTAATGATTGATAGCTTTTATTATTCTTATTATCTTGGAGTAGAAGATTAATAATGACATGAACAGTAAAAATTTACACAAGTCAAAATCTGTGTGCCTTTAAAAAAGATGCAGGAATTTAGAGGAAGACAAAATCTCTTCCTTTGGGGGACAATCCCCCAAAAGGGCTTCATGCCCCCAGAGACATTTGCAGAGGGCCTTGAAGATTGGCCAGGATGGTAACTGAATGCTTGCCTTGATTGGTATGTCTCTACCAGTGTACAGAGATGGGAAGGGTTTGAGCAAACTTCTCTTTCCTCACCTGAAGCATATGTCCTTTTGGGACACATAAACTATTAGAGCTTACTGACCTCCCCAGCTGCTCTTAAGGACCATACCACTCCACTCTGTTCTACTAACAGGAGTGAAGCTTTCTTCCATCGACTGGGAGTCCTCAAGTGAAAGGCCAAGAAGAAAAAATTATAAAATACAAGGGATATTTAAAATGACTAAGGGTTGATGAGCACAGAACCAATACAGCTGCTTGGAGGCTCATCCCATATACAGAGGCTATTTCTTCACTGGTTGAGATGCTTTTTAGGACCCTGGTAAATGAAAGAGAGCCTGATCCTGGCCCCAAGAGGAAGAGAGTTATAATGGTGTCTTGAGAACACCCTCCTTTCTCTGCTGGGGGCAATGGAAGCTATGAAAGGCAAGCTTGACCTAAGTGATAGGAAGCATTGATTTTTTTCCTATACTGTAAATGTCAGAGAGCCTGCCAAGGTTCATCTGATATGCTGCTACCTATTTTCATTAATTCTTAAATAAAGGAGACAACACAAGAAAAAGAAAATGTGCTGTTAGAAAACAAAGGCCATGCATTCCTTTGTATTCATGATGTATTCCTAACCCAGTGGAAAGTTATGATTTATGGATGGGGCATATGAGAAGTGACAAGCTGCCTGGAGAGATGGTGGTGAAGAGCGTTCAATTATCTAGACCATGACACCTGAGTGATCAGGTTTTGACAATGATAGAGTAGATCTTAAAGAATCCAGAAGAAATATACCAAACAACAAGAGAAATGTATTGATCTGATCATGATCAAGAAAGTAGAACATGAATTTGGAGAGGAAGGGGAGAAAAATGTCCAAACTAGGTCAAGCCAAATGATAAAGTAAGCAAACCAATATGACATATGAGAAAGATGGGGAGAAGGTAAGAAAAGATAGTGGAGGATTAAATTCATGACCTCAAATTTCTATTAAAAATTAGGTTCCAAGGGGCATCTGGCTGGCTCAGTTGGTGGATCATGAGACTCTTGATCTCAGGATTATAAGGGCCAGCTCCACACTGGGTGTAGAGATTTCTTAAAAAAATAAAATCTTTTAAAAATTTGGTTTTCAAGCTGAACTTGTGATATGGATTGAGGAATGCATATGCACTTTAGGTATCTTGAGTCTAGCTGGTCCCATTTGTCACTGTTGTGACATCAATGCTCAGCACCCAAGTGCTTTCAGAGTGGGGCCTGAGCCTAATTTCCTCCTCAGGCATTACTTTTAGAAATTAGGAAGTAATAATGTTTGAAATAATTTGTAAACATAAGAAAAAGTTTTGAGTGTTTTGAATGTTTCCCCTATCTTGGCCACTGAGTAGAAATTTAAATCTAGAGATTGGGATCTAGAGACAAGCACCAAGTTAGCTATTTTGCAGTATAAGGATATAACTTAGGATGTGTTTGAGGTATGTATAATACTCTCTTGAGAGCTCAAGAATTTTTAGATTTAATTTTATGCTTTAATTTTTGGATGTGAGATAAACTGTTAACTATTTGTTAGTAAATTATTATATAAAAATAAAACCAGCATCATAGTATTTGCATTCTGGTTTCTGATGTGCAGGTAGATCGTTGGCCAGAGACGGGATACGTGAAGAAACTCCAGAGAAGGGACAATACTTTCTATTACTACAACAAACAGAGGGAGTGTGATGACAAGGAAGTCCACAAAGTAAAAATTTATGCTTACTAGTCTTTGTTCTTTGTGTTGTCATTACTTAAGACTTCATTGCTTCATTCTACATCATGTAAATGTCATTTTACAAAATAATTCAAAATGCAGACTTCAGCTGAATACTGTGAAACACAAAAGCCATGAAACCATGAAACCATCCTGTTCTGTTCTAAAATATAATTGCAGAAGCATTAAAGGTGTATCCATCTTGGTCCTGTTCTTCTGATTATTTTAACTGAGATAGACTAACCATGATGCACAGAAAGAGACAGCCCCATCTGAAACCATTCCAGTGGTGAGGCTAGTTATGTATAGGTTAGTGTTCCATACTCCCTACCCCCACCCCCAGCCTTTACCACTTTCCAAGACCACCATTTTGAACTGTCAGATCTGCCTCTTGTGGCCCGAGGGCTTTCTCTTGTCCCTGGAGTCCTTTGCCTCTTGCTGAGTAGATTGGAAATGCCAAGGGCTTCTGGCCCCTGGGAGCAGCCCTCAACCAATGACTGATGGGGAGGAGGTGTTCAAAAGCTCCAGCCACCTGGTACCTCAGAGGAATCCATCAGAGGTGTGTGCTTTACACTGGCGCCCAGTTTCCCAGCAGGATGAAGCTTCAGTCACCAGCAGAGGGTGTCTGGCTGGATCACAGAGTCTATTGGCTGTCTCCCTCCATTGCCACTCCCCCCACTCCCTGCCAGGCGTTCCCTTCCTCCTGAATCAGCTCCTTGTATGTGGAGCCTTGTCCCAGGATTGGCTTCTGGGTTCCCAATCTAGACAATTCCTGTTTCAGTCCTGCTTGGAATCACTGCAGAAACAGCCTGAGTGCTAATGAGCAAGGCAATAATTAACCTGTAAGACATAGGAAGTCCCCAAAATTCGTGAGTCTTGAGTGCTTTGAGGTTAAATAGATGAAAGACACCCTTTCTATTTTAACTACGTTTTCACTAGATTTTTTGTCACCATTTGTAAACCCTGACCTTTAAATAGATTTTTGGATACGGGGATCATAACCATCAATTCATCCAACTTCAGCTCCCGTTTTCCAGTGCCCCGTGAAGCTCCATTAGTTTTCCTAAATCAATGTTGTGCTTCTTCAGCATTTTTTCTTTTTGAGCAAAAACATCACAGGAAGGATAGATTGGCAAACTTCTTTTATGCCTTTCCCAGCGTTGCTTGAGATCATCTCACCGCTTTGAACCCATTTATCTGTACCCCTCTGCTCATGCTTTTTATCATCCTCTTTCAGATTTGGCAAACCCCTCAGTACTGATCATAAGGGATCTTCTGAATCTGATAATGCTTTTTTTTTTTTTAACCTACTGTGATAGAAGACATCCCCTGACAACTGCATTGCCTCCAAATACACCCTTATCCCTGAAACCTGTGCATATGGTAGCTTACACAGCAAAAGACAGTTTGCAGATGTGATTAAGTTAAAGAACTTGAGATGGGAAATTATCCTAGAATATCTGGGTTGGCCCAATGTATCACTTGGGCCCTTAGGGCAGCAGGCTGGTCAGAGTTAGAGAAAGAGGTGTGACAATGGAAGCAGAGGTCTGAGGGATGCAAGGAAGGAACCAAAGTCCAATGAATGCAGAAAGCCTCTAGAAACTGGAAAAAGCCAGTAAATGGCTAGTCTCCAGAAAAAACACGATCTCGCCAACACCTTCGTTTTACCAAATAAGACTTATTTCAGACTTCTGGCCTCCAAAACTATAAGAAAATAAACCAGTATTGTTTTACACCACTTCGTTTGTGGTAATTTTTATAGCAGCAAGAGGAAACATACCCCTACATAGAATGGTTGAAGGAAATACCCATCCATAGCCATGGAGTCTACATGAGCTTCAATTACAGGCTGCCATTTTTGACCAGGGAGCACAGATAATGTTACAAATAATATCCATTCCAAGGAAGTTGACCAGGGCCTTTTTGCCTGGAACCTTCTCACTAATTAGCGCAAATGGTCTAATGCCACTTTATCCTCCTGCAGCAAGACCCTCTTAAGATATATGGCCCTTGGGGAAATCCAAATCAAAACCTCAATGAGATACCACCTCACACCAGTCAGAATGGCTAAAATTAACAAATCAGGAAATGACAGATGTTGGTGAGGATGCGGAGAAAGGGGAACCCTTCTATGTTGTTGGTGGGAATGCAAGCTGGTGCAGCCACTCTGGAAAACAGTATGGAGGCTTCTCAGAAAGTTGAAAATAGAGCTACCCTACGACCCATCAAGTGCACTACTGGGTATTTACCCAAAAGATACAGGAAGTGATTTCTGAAGTGGTTTTCAGAAGACACAAAAGTCAACACGTTCTTAAGTTCAGAGAAGCGGGAACCAAATCTAGCCCTACATTCTTCTCTCTCATAAGAAACAGCTTCCCTCATTCTGATACTTATCAAGGCAGGAACATACTGAACTCATTTAGCAATTTCACGGACTATGGATTTTATATTCAGCAGGAATAATGGCTAGAAATCACTGGTTCTCTAATTTTATGGTTCAAGAATTAGGATTTCTGAACATATGTCATCAAGATAATGCGTGACAGAAAAGATCAAATCCTTCTATGATTTAAAATCTAGGCATTTAAGCATGACTGACCCCTTTCTTTACCATGATTAGTGTGCACATAGTAAGAAAGAGGGGGGCACCTGGGTGGCTTAGTCAGTGAACTGTACTTCTTGATTTCAGCTCAGGTCCTGAGATCAAGCCTCGAGTTGGACTCTGCACTCAGCACAGAGTCTGCTTTAATTTCTCTCTCTCCCTCTCCCTCTGCCCCAACCCCCTTGCTCTCTCTCTCTCAAATAAATAAATACATCTTTAAAAAAAAGAGGGAGGAGGGGCGCCTGGGTGGCTCAGTCGTTAAGCGCCTGCCTTCGGCTCAGGTCATGATCCCAGCGTTCTGGGATCGAGCCCCATATCGGGCTCCCCGCTCGGCGGGAAGCCTGCCTCTCCCTCTTCCACTCCCCCTGCTTGTGTTCCTCTCTCACTGTGTCTCTCTCTGTTAAATAAATAAATAAAATCTTTAAAAAAGGGGTGCTGGGTGGCTCAGTCGTTAAGCGTCTGCCTTCAGCTCAGGTCATGATCCCAGGGTCCTGGGATCGAGCCCCGCATTGGGCTCCCTGCTCAGCGGGAAGCCTGCTTCTCCCTCTTCCACTCCGCCTGCTTGTATTCCCTCTCTCGCTGTGTCTCTCTCTGTCAAATAAATAAATAAAATCTTAAAAAAAAAAAATCTTTAAAAAAAAAAGAGGGAGGGAGGGGGAAGAAGAGAAGAAGGAAGAAAAGTGGGGGAGAGAAGGAAAAGGGGGAGGGGGACGGGTAGATAGGAAAGGAGACAGAGACAGAGACACAGGTATGATGGGACTCTAGGAAAAGTTGCTGGGGATGGGAGTCTGTTGGCTGTTGAGGAAGAACATAATGGCCTCTCCCTCTTAGGTAAGTCCATCAGAGGCAGATAGACACCCTTGGTCATAAGAAGAGTATAGACCTTTTATAACCCAAGGAAGGCTACCTCTCCCAATAATCTTTAGCATGTAAAACTACTAGTTTTAGAGAAAGAGGTAGAGAAATTTCTATAGGATCCAAGGACCGTCCCAGAAAGAAAGAGAAGACTCCATCCTTTTTGAAGTTCAACATTATTAGAACTTCTCTGATGCTCAAGAAAGGACACCAAGAAACCTCAAAAGGAAATACAGTGATGGGGGAGGGAGAGTCTGTACTGGAGTCTAATGGTGGTGAAGCAAGATGAGCCATGGTGGAGTGTGCAGAGGCAGGAAGGAGCCTGTGGTCCTGCCATCTTGGTCCTACAGGTGTGCTCCATGAGGGACTAATGAGTTACCATCTTGGGAGCCCATGCTGGGCACCACTGAGGTCTTTACTAAAATCATAGGGTGTCTCGGATTGTAGGGTCAGTTTTCCAAAGTGAAGCACTGAGAGTTGAAAAGCTGGGGTCATTCACTGAACTTCTAGAAGTAGGAGTCGAGTGGGAGTTGGGAGAGAATGCAGTGGGGGAGGGCCCTTCCAGGAACGTGGAGAAGCAAAACCAGAAAAGGAAGCTACAGACCACAGAGGGGATGGCTTGTTGGAGCAGTGACAGTCCAAATCCTAGGAATGGTGCAAACACCACCGCTTTCTGTGTCCCAGTTCTTCTTCCCAGTCAAAAGCATCTCGTACTTTCTTTTTGCCATACTGCATGGGGACCCTAGGAGAAGGTACGGAGTATAACTGACCCCAAGGTGGGAAAAGGGGGAAAAGGCACAGAGCATACCATTTTCCAACGTGGAAAGTCAAAAAATCAAAGTGTATTAGAACTAAAACAAGCCTCGGAGGACCGGTGGCCCAACAGTTGCAGAAATCCAGGCCCACAGAGGGGTGAGGTATGCCCGAGGCTTCACCGTGGCTGAGATTCTAGGCTTAGCCCAGACCCCTTCTGCATACCACCATGGTGTCTACCTGTAACAAGTCTGCTCAGGAACAAGGGCAGAGGAACCTCTCAAAGGCCCTGGTCCAGAGGCTGATAACTGTACATTCAAGTCATGTTACTGTCCTTCTGCTTACTTACGGCTATAGCTACTTCTTGTCAAATCCCCTAAGAATAATTGACAGTGAGAGCTATACATTACTAGCTGTCAATGGAACAGTTTGGGCAGGGACTATACATGGCCCGAACTGATACCCTGATGACCTCTGAGACAACACACAACCTGTTTCCTCTGAGGCATCTGCAGGCCAGGGTGTGTCTGAGCAGGGCAAAGGGGCAGTATGGGAAATCCTACATCTTCCTTACTCCTTGGCCCGGATTCTCTGCATCTGGGGTGCATTCCACTTAGGTGGCCTCATCATTATAAGCACTGTTCTCTGTTCTGTGTATTTGGCAGCAAGTTTGGCCAAGAGCAAGGCTTCTGAGCGCTGTCTTCTGCACCACCAAGGCAATAAGCCAAGGGCCAGAAGCACAGCCAGGATGGACCAGGAGAGGTTACGCCCCAGTCCTTGGGCCAGCTGCAGGCCCGTGGGAGTCACAGGCACCTTGAGTGGTGTTAGGGAGATGTCAGGAGAAAGGATGGGATGTGAGAGAATTCTCTGGGAGGGTAGGAAGAGGGAGTGATGGGGTGCAGGTCCTCGGAGCGTTCGCCAATCATCCCAGGCATCCACAGCATTACCGCTCAACTCTTGTAAAAACTGTCGGCACCTTGATTAAGGA